GGCGCACGCGAGGGGCTGCGCCACAGCGCCCCCTGCTGGCCGGACTGCACCTGAAGCGAGGTTTCTTTTTTTCTGGTTCACGTAGTCAAGGAAGTTCTCCGGAAAACAGAACCAACTCCGGTGCAGAGAGGGAGAGACCGGTGATTTTAAGGAATTAGCTCAAGCAGTGGTGGGGGCTGGCAAGTCCAAAACCTGCAGGGAGGGCTTGCAGGCTGGAGAGCCAGGGCAGAGCTGATGCTGCAGCCCAGGGCTGAGGCCGCCTGCAGGCCAAATTCCCTCTTCCCTGGGAACCTCAGTCTTTTCCTCTTAGGGCCTTCAACTGATTGGGTGAAGCCCACCCACACTATGAAGGAGGATCTGCATTACTACAAGTCTGTTGTTTTAAATGTTAACCTCATCTAAAAATACTTTCACCGCAACATGTGACTGTTTGACCAACTCTCTGGGCACCATGGCCTCACCAAGTTGACACATAAAATTATTCACCACACTACCCAACCCCAGAAATGCTCAGAGGGCACACAGAGGTCCAGTCCACTCACTGGCTCCTCCCATGACCGGTTCCTTCCTCTTCCTCTCTCCTGGGCCCCGCCTCCACCTGTCCACCTCCCAGTTCATTTTTTTTTTAAATATATCTTTATTGATTTCAGAGAGAGGAAAGCAGAGGAAGAGAGATAGAAACATCAATGATCAGAGAGTCATTGATCGGCTGCCTCCTGCAGGCCCCCAACTGGGGATTGAGCCCACAACCTGGGCATGTGCCCTGACCTGGAATCAAACCCTGATCGCCTGGATCCTAGGTCAGCGCTCAACCGCTGAGCCATGTCCAGCCGGGCCCTTCCAGCTCAGGTCCTTGCTCCCTGCTTCCCAGAGATGAAGGCAGCTAGAGGGGACCCCGAGCACCTGCCCCCACATATCTGCCTCCCTTGAGAATATTCCTGCTCCCTTGAGGGCCTGCCCCTCTCTGGGGTTAATTCTGGAGCACAGATGTCAATCAAATGAGCAGGAATTGGATATTTGGGAATTGCTTGCAGCCCAATACAAGGTTGAATTGTTGTTGTTTTCTTTTTAAACAATGGTACTTTCCAAGAAAAAAATAAAATGCACATAAGATTTTTCTCTCAGGAAATAAAAAGGCTTGGATGTAATTGAGATGCTTAGCATCCAAGATCAGCTCCAAGAGACCAGGTGTCCTTGGGTCTGGGGCCACCTGGAGGCACACGGTTCCTCCCTCCGCTCTCACAGACCTGAGCTGGCTGCTGCTGGTCCCTGAGCTCATGTCTCCTTGCAGCCTCACCCTGGGGGGCACTGGGGTACAGCAGTGAACTCTTACCTTTGAGCTGGTCAGTCACATGTAAGACAGGAAACTCAGGAAATAGCCGTACTGTGTATTCCTTAAAATATGGATGTAAACACCCAAAGAAATGGCCGAAGGAGCCCCTGGGAGCGGCGCCTCTGGGAGGGGCTCTGTCCCCCACACCTGTGTCAGGGTCCTGGACACACACGGCGGCTGTGTATATGTTACTGTGATACCCACAAATCTGCATGTAAGCAGGAAGTCTTTATAAGGCCTCACGTAAACAGGTCAAAGGAGGGAGACAGGATGCTCTCCACAAATACTTGTCCACAGAAATTGGTGGCCACTTGGGACTATGACAGTTGTTGCCCTTTTGGGTGTGCCTGTGTGTGGGGCGGGGAGCTCATGGGTTCTCACATATAGTAGATCCACCTCTGAGGCCAAGGCCACCTGGGTCCCCCACGCCTCTGAGACCACAGAGGTGGGCCCTGCACATGGCCTGCCCATCGGGATCCCTTCTCCCTTCTGTGTGGAACCCAGAGCCTAATTGTCCCTCTTCTCTAGCTCCCTACTCCTTGAGCTGCCTGCTGCCTCCCCTGGCCTGGCCTGGCCCACCCCGAGGATGGACCCCAGACACCCTGCTGCTGTTGACCCTGCTGCTGGAGACCCTGCTGATGGTGAACCCACTAGTGACCCTGCTGGTGGTGACCCCACTGTTGGAGACCCTGCTGGTGGTGACCCCACTGCTGGTGACCCTGCTGCTGGTGACTCTGCTGGTGATGAGTGCTATTCTGTGGGTGAGCCTATGCCCCCCCCCAACATGGCCCTAAGTCCAGTTGGGCTGCACTTGGCAGGGCTGGGTGTGTGGAGGGGGGGTGTGGGGGGGTGTTACACGGAGTGTGTGCTTGGTGTCATGTGTAGGGTCCACGTGTGGGATGTGTCTGGGATGCATGTACATATGCAGAGAGTGGGGGTTCTGCACACGGGGTACATGTGTGTGCAAAGGCAGGGAACCCAGTGGAGGCATCCGGACGCTGTGGCTCTGTGTGGGGCTGGGGCACATGGGGTGGCCTCCGTGTGGAAGTGAGTGTGCAGGTGCCACCAGCCCTCAGGGTGTAGGACACGTAGCCCCACTCGCTGGATGACTGACACAGAAAACTGTCTGTGACTCCAGGAAGCAGCACAGGAACCACAGTGTGGGGGAGGCAGGGTGCAGGGGCTGGTGGGAACCGCAGCTTTTCCCCAAGTGCTGGCGCTGCACCCACACGAAATCCGCCATTCTGAGTTCCCAGCTGGACGCAGAGGCATTTCATCTTCTTGCCAAGAAGGAGAAGGGGGAGGGAACTGGCCGCATCTGATCAACAAGGGGCCTGGCCAGGCGCTGAGCGTGGGAGCCCAGGGACCCCATGGGGTGCCCCCACCCTGCTCCCAGGCCCCCTCTGGTGGGGCTGCCTGTGGGGTCCGGACCTACCCAGAAAGCACCGAAGCCCTTTCCAGCTGAGGCTCTCTCCCTCTGTTTCTCCCAACACCCCTGGTCCTCCTGGAAACCCAGACCTTTTGCAGGTGGTCTCTGTAGGCTCAAGGGGCACATGTCCTGCTCTTAGTGTACACTGTGCAGGGTGAGGGCCCAGGCACCTACCTGCCTCTTGGCCAGCGCTTTTCCCACCTGCCCCCAGGATGGGTTCTCCAGGCCCCGATGGGTTCTCTGACACCCACCCTGCTGTGACTTCATATCAACCCCCCCACCAGACACAGCTCCCCCCATCACACACAGTCCCCTCATGATACACAGTCCCCCCATCACACACAGCCCCCAGCCCGCCTAGTACACCTGCCTGCTGGCCTGCGGGTGTCCAGCTCTGCTGACAGGTGCCCGGGGTACCTCGGGGGACCTCAGGCTGGGACAGCCCTCATCGGTACGCATGTGCCCCTCAGGGTCTGGGCTGCACCCAGGATGCCTGTGGCCGCTCTGCTGGGTTTGCTGCTGAGCAGGACCCTCCTTGCCTGTGTCTCCTGGAGCTCTGCCACCCCTGAGACCTTAGGGCCTCCATTTGCCCTGGACCGTCTGGCAGGAAGGCAGAGCACCAGTGTCGGGTCAGCCCCAGGCCACGAGGAGTGTCTGCTTGGCTCCTCCAGCCAGTCCTGCCGCTGGTGGCCAAGAGTAATGAGGGACAAGAACACTCGGCCTTTTCCGCCCACCCTTCCCGCCCAGGGCCAAGAAAACATTCTTAATTGAGACGTCAACTGGGCTCAAATGTTGTTTTTCTCCCAAAAACACGGTCTTCTCATGGGCTGAATCAGAGAAGCCGCGTCCCCGGTGTCCAGCTGTGCCAGGTTTCGGATGCTGGAGCTCCCATGGATGTTAGGGTCCAACTGCAGCAGTCCCGGGAAGCCTGTCCCCGTGCCCCCCTCACAGGCCTGTGCCAGCTGGGACCACAGTGTGTCTGCCACACTGGTGCCCAGAATCAGGTGCTGGGTGAGGGCTTCTCCTGCCCCTGGGGCTGTGGGACCCGCCATGGGCTGTGATACGAGAGAGGCCGTGAAAACAGACCACTCCATACCCTGCTAGGAGAGCTCACTCTCCTTGCTGTGTGACCACTGGAAAGCCACTTAACCTCTCTGTTCCCTCATCAGAAAAAAATGGTTGTGAGCCAATACTTAGCTCCATTTGTGAGCAGTGAACACAAAACTGCCGGACAAGGTGCCGAGAGGGCATTTTGTGGTCTTTCCAGTCCTTGGTCAGACGGAATCTATTTTGTTGAGGCTGAGGTTCGGGCCATGCTTTGGAATCTCCGGCTCTGCCCACAGCACACACTGTTTCAGTGACTGTGCTTTTCCGACCCTCCAGTCTCGCAGGAATGAAGGGCTCTCTGGCTCTTTTCCTAGTTTCTTTTTCCATGTAGACATCAGATGAGCTTGTTTGGTGTTTTTACCGGACTTCAGGACTCCTGCGGTTGGGCGAGGGGCACCTGCCGTGGGGAAGCCCTGTGGCTCCTGGACAGCCGCCCGTGGAGGGGTCTGCTCCCGGCCCTCTGCCTCAGTGTCTGCTCCTAACAAAAGGAGTGGCCTTGCCCTGGGCCCTGGGGGAGGGACGAGCCACCTACACTTGACCCGCAGACCTGGAGCCGCGAGCAGCAAGTCTGCTTGGGAAACTTTCCCCCCGGCCTTATACACGGGACGCTCCTCAGCCGGGCTTTCTAACAGGTGTCACCTCCGCATTCCTGCTGTGAGCAGAGGTTTCCCTCCCAGCAGCTTCTCTAACGGCAAGTGAAACCTTCAGGTTTCTATGTGCTGTTCATGCGCACACCCCTGGGGGCCCGCCAGGCGTGAGGCCTTCCCTGCGTGCTGGCCTGGACCCATCTGTGCTGAGTACGGTCTGTCTTTGAGGCTCACATTCTTGGGGAGAAGCAGGACATCGGGACGCAGACGGTACCCTGTCACCCCATTGCCAGGATGTTTGTGTCTGCGTGTTGCTACTTTGCCGGGAAACGGTGGATTGTGAAACGTTGCCCTGTGTTGAGCCTCTGGGTCCAGCTCACTGATTAATTCTGATAACGGTCCTCAGGTTCTTTATGGCTTTCTGCATAATTAGTCATCACTTCAGTGAGTAACAGTGCTTTTGTTTTTATTTGCAAAGACATTTTGGGGGCGCAGTTTTAGACTCACAGCAAAATTAAGCAAGTACAGAGATTTCCCATAGACCCCTTCTCCCCGCCCAGACAGCCTCCCCATCATCAACACCCCTCCAGGGTGGTCTGTCACGATCCACGAACTATTGTCGACTGAGACGTAGCATCAACTCCGTGTTTGTCACCACAGAGGACTTATTCAGGAAAAACAAAGGGCTGCAACCCGGTGGGCGCAGATGTGGTGAGAAGACGGAGGGGCGTTTGTAGGAGGCGAGGGAGGGGGAGTTATAGCGAGAGCTTTGTCCTACGCAGGCCTCCTGCAGGGCTCTCCCTGCCCCACAGACCCTCCTGGCTTGAAGTCCCAGCTACTCTCATCACCCTGAGTCCACGGTTGACATCAGCGTCACTCTTGGTGCTGTGTGTCTGTGGGTTTGGACAGATGTGTAATGACATGTGTCCACTATTACAGCGTCACGCAGGGCAGTTTCACTGCCCTAAAGTCCCCTGTGCTCCACCTGTTCATCCCCCACCCCCTGGCCCCTGACCCTGCCCCCTGGTCATTTCACTGTCCCACAGTTTGGCCTTTTCCGGATGGCACAGGGTTGGAGTCACACCATGTGCAGCCTTGTCCGACTGGCTCCTCTCACTTGGCCACATGCGTGTAAGGTTCCTCCGTGTCTTTTCGTGGCCCACAGCTCAGGGTTTGTGCCTGAATGGTCTCCCACTGTCTGGATGGACACAGTTTCTTATCAGAGTAACAATGTTTCCATCGCTCGGTCCTGCATCCTGCACGGCGCCTGCCTCCAAGGATGCTCAGAGTTAAGCTCTGTTTCTGAGGTTGGTTACACTGTAGCCGCCTTTTGTACCCTTGAGGACGTTTCCTCAATTCTCAGTTTTCTGTGTGGCTTCTTCAACGGTGACTGGGGTTCCCCTGTGAGCTAAGTGTCCTGCACCCACTGGGAGGACTGCCTGGTCCCCTGGTCCCCAAATGAGTCACAGTGATGGACATTCGGCTGTTCACTCAGTGTCCGGACCGCCCGGCACACACCCCCTTCTCCCGCACAGCGCAGGTCGAACCCCTGGTGTCTCGTCTGGGTCCCTGAGTCTGGGTCCTGTGTTGGCTGCTCTCCAGGGTGTGGAGGGCCGTCCGCACTGGGGGCCTCTCCCTCTGGGTGCCATCCGCTGCAGGGGCCTGGTGGGTTGTCAGCCCCTCCATTCTCGGGTGAGGCCACCAGGGCTCCCAGCCCCCAGGTTTGAGCTGGACAGTCCATTAGTAATCTCTCCTCTCTCCCAGTATGGGCTCTCATGCAGGCCCTGACTCTGACCCCTGACCCCACCCCCTGTGTGGGGGCCTGGCTGGGCCTGGGTACGTGCCAGGGGCTTCTCTACCTCCCTGGGACGGCCAGGGGCATGCCAGGAGCCCCGCCTCCCTTGGCTGCCATCCCTCCTGTCCTCCCCTGTCCTCCCAGCTCTGAGCCCAGTGGCCCCAATAGTTCTTGACAAAAGAATGGGTTTCTTCTGGACATTCCCTCTGGGTCCTGGTTCAATGATTCTTCAGCACGGCTGGAGGCTGAGGGCTGAACTCACAGAGCCAGAAAGAAGGGCCTGGCTGCCTGGCAGCTGGGGCAGGGTCTGTGCCACCCTGGGGCCTGGGGTAGGGGCGGGGCAGAGGTGGGGGGGGACAGACAGGTTGATGAGGCTGGTGGGCTTCACTGAGGCACAGATGGTGGGAGGCCTGGGGTTGGGGTGGCAATGGGGGTCGCCCTCTGAGGCAACCAGGGGGCGCTGGTGGCTGTGGGCGACTCAGAGCTGGGTGTTGGGCCCCCAGCCTCACAGGTGGCAGCGACCTTTCCAGACCAGCTGACTCTCCTTGGTGCTGACCTTGGACCTGGTCTGAGGGCCCTGCCCTTTTCCACTGTGAGGGTGACCCTGACCTCCCCTGGGCCCCATGTCCTGCAGGTTCTTCCCCAGCCAGCACTGGGCTGAGTGAGTGTCCACTCCATGGTCTCTAGGCCATGTTCAGGGACCGGAGCTTGGGCAAGCAACAGGACTGTGGGTGGGGGCCCTGGGAGCACTTGGCCATGGAGGGGGAAGCTTTGGGGAGCAGCTAGCCTGCTGGGGGTGCAGCAGGAGCCAGGGTATAGGAAGGGCAAGGATGCAGCCAGGACCACGTTGGGGTCTCTGGAGGGACTGGAGGCTGGCCATGCTGGGCAGTGGGGGGGGGGTAGGCTGTGACCAACTCGGAGGCGTGGGGGTGCCAGACCCCACTGGACATGCCCTGTGGCTCAGCTGGCCCCTGTGGGGTCTGGTCAGTGCTGTGGGCCTGGCCCTGCTGTCTGCTGCCCGCTGTCTGCTCACACGGCTGGTTGGCATGGTTGTTCTGGGACCCACAGCCCAACTTGGCTGAAATGTGAGCCCGGGCTCCCTGGACTGTGGGTGGAAGCCCACTGGTGAGCAGACAGGCCCAGGGAAGGGACAGTGGGAGCTCTGGCCAGAGAGGGCATGGGAGGCCGTGGGCAGTGCATGGTGTCTGTGGTGAGCCCCCAGCCCACCACACAGCCCTCCAGGCCCTGTCTCGTCCCCCCAGGCCAAGACATGTTTGTGCTCCTGCAGACCCTGCAGATGCTGTGGTCCAATCGGGAGCTGCAGCAGGTGAGCACATGGGCTTCGGGTGCCTGGCCGCTGGCCTCAGTGGGCCAGCCCGTCGGAATGTTCTGGTGGACACAGGCCCCGGAGGCCTAGAGTGGGAGGGAAGAGCCTCCACCCAGCTTCTGCACAGAACAGTGGTCCTGGTGGGCCGTGGCCACTTGTGCCCTGTGTGGAGCCAGGGCTCCCACTGGCCCACCGAAGGCCTTGTCCACAGCAGCCTCTCCCAGGGAGGGCGGCCAGATAACTGGTCTAGCCATCGAGGGACATATCGGTCCAGCGGGAGGAGGTGGCCCTGGCAGGGACCCTTAGGCCACATACCCAGCCACGTCCCATCTTGGCCTGTGCAGGGAGGGCAGCTTCCTTTGTGGGCCCCAGGGTGGCAAAGGCACAGACAAGTAACTCGAGCCTCTTGGACAGAGCATCGCCCTCTGGCCTGGGGAGCAAGCCCTTGGTCTTTATGGGACGTCAGTGTGGACAGTGACTGCTCCTGGCCCGGGGTGCAGGAACAGGGCAGAACCTTGGCACAGGAGACGGTGGAGGCCAGGGTGCTGCCCGGTGACCCCATTCTATCTCCCCACAGACTTGCTTTAACGTCTCTGTGCCCGGACAGGGCTGGTGAGAGCATTCGCTGACAGTGAGGTTTCGTGTCTCTGCAGCTCAAAGAGGAAGCCTGGAGGGGATTTGCTGCCCTGGACGACCCGCGAGCTAGACTCCTGGATCTGCTGGACAGTGGCAGGGGCTGGCGGTGGAAGGGCCCCTCCCTGGAGGCCTGGGTCACCTGTGAGCTGCAGCGCTGGCTGCAGGCACAGCCTCCCCCGGGGCCCTCGCAGGTGAGCGAGCCCCACCCTTGGCCCTACAGGCCGTGCTCCAGAGACCACTTCCTCCCACCCCGTCCACCCTTCTCAGGCACTGCGGGCTCCACATCCAGCTGACGGGGCCTCTGCAGCCAGCTGGGGTTGCCCACGATGGTGGGGCTGGGCACTCGGCCTTAGTACTCGGCCATTGCACCCAGGCCTGGTAGCCTGACCCTCAGCCCTCTGACAGCCACATGTCTCCCCCACCGTTATCCCCCATCCTCCGGGCCTCACCTGCCCACCACCAAGCCCTTGGCCACAGGATGCCTCCACTGGCTGAGGCCGGGTCTTGGGACTTACAGGGCAGCCTGGAGCTGAAGCAGCTGCAGGCCCGTGCGGTCAGGGTCCTGACCGAGAGTCCCCCCAGTCTTGTGGAGCCGCTGGTCAGCATCTTCCAGCTGCAGGACACAGACCGAAGCCCCCTGCTGGCCCACGTCAACCGGCTCCACCAGGAGGGCAAGTTCAAGGAAGTGAGTGTGACCTCGAGTGGCCCGGGCCTCTCCCTGTGGGGGTGGGTGGACTCAGGGACACTCCTTCCGAGGCTCAGGCTGTGGCTCCCATCTGCTTATGGAGTCCTCGGGGTGAGTGGGAGGGAGCTGGGCTCACAGGGTCCACCCGGAAGATCCTCGTTGCCCTTCCACTGCTGGGAACCTTGGGGACGGCCACCTGGGGACCCAGCTCAGGGCCACGCCTGGTGTCAGGGTCCCAGGAGCCCCCCACGCTGTGCCTGGGCTTGCCCCCTCCTGCCATGGTCCTTCCTCCTGAGGTGTCACTGGGCCCTCGCACTCTGTCAGCAGCATGGGGACACCAAAGCCACTTACCTGGATGCTGCCACCGGCTCCGTTATATCCTGGAGACATCTCAGGGGCCCAGAGGAGCAGGGCTGTGGGAGAAGCTAGTGATGGTCCCTCTGCCCATCCATGCCACCCCTTAGGGCGAGGTCGGGTTGCTGTGCCTTTTCTCTCCCCTCCTGCCCCACAAGGCCACTGGCCCCCATGTTGGTGTCCCCTAGAAGTAGGAGCAGCACCCCCCCTGTGAGAGCCCTGGGTGTTATGCCTGCTGCCTCTTGGACCTGTCAGGGGCCCTCCCTGGGAGTCGAGGGGCCGAGCTCTGGGCGGCATCCCCTCCTGCATGTTTGCTGGTTCCCTTGGACTGGGTCAGACCAGCGGTGGTGACTAGGAGGGACTGACTCCCCAAGGGACCTGTGGGCTCCCGGCTGTCACAGGGCATCCCACCTGCACCAGCAGCCCTGGGCCAGCCCCGCGGCCTCACACTCATGATTTTTGTGGACGTTCAGTGGGCAGCACAGTGCTGGCACCTGGGGGCACAGATCTCCGGTCTTGTCAGTGAGAGCTGCCCAGTGTGAGCCATGCGTTTGGGGGCTCCAGAGAGGGGTCGTTGCCCCCTTACCGTGGGGAAGGTGAGTCACAGAAGCGACAGCTGTGGGCCTCGGGGTAAAGACGGAGGCTTTGCCATCCAAGGTTCGCTGGGTCTCCTTTGTGAGCAAGGCCAGAAGCTCCCGAGGGAAGGTGGAGCCTGGCCGGGAGCTCCGGGGGTGAACCGGTCCAGGTGAGGCAATAGGGAGCGGTGGGCCTCAGAGAGCAGGGGGAGGTGCCCTGTGCAGTGGCTCTGGCTTCTCCCTGCGGTGACATGTGACAATCACAGCGTGGGCTTGGGGCTGCGAGGGTGGATCCTGAGTGCGAGCGTGGGCAGGGGCGGGGGCGGGAGGGCTCTCACAGAGGGAGGAGTCCGGTGTCTATCCAGGGATCAGAGGCTCGGTCCTGCTACCACACCCGTGGCCTCCCTGAGCCCAGAGACAAGCCTGTCCAGGGACAGAGCTGCTCAGGGGCCCTGACCCCGTACCCGGAGCTTCTCAGGATGGAGGGTGAGGGGGTCACAGAGGCAGGACCCCTGCCCCTGTGTGGGCCTCCTCCCCAAGAGGCTCGCCCTGGAGAGGAGGCTGGTTGGAGCGTAGGTGCCGGGGCTTGGAGGTGTGTGCCATGCGCAGGCCGCCCTGGGCTCCTCTCCTGACGTTGCTGCCTGCCACCCCGGCCGGCCCGGCTTTCGTCTGGCGGCTGGTGAATGGCGCTGAGACGCTAAGATGGCCGGGCGGGGACAATGTGGGGCCGGCTCCTGCTCACAGGGCGAGAGCCATTCTCAGGGCTGAATGGGCGGCTGGGCCTGCGGAGAATGCAGGACGCAGAAGGCCGGCTAGCGTTTCACGTCTTCTGTTACACTCGAGCCTTTCAAAGAGTGTCTGGGCCGCTGAATGCGCCTCCCTCGAGCTCCGAGGCAGGAATCCCAACACAAAGGGGGCTCTTGTCCCGCACAGGCCCCTTCTGCGCAGAAAAGCCATTGTCCGGACGGGCCGCCCGGCAGGCGGTGTATGCTCCAGTGCCCGCGCCGCGCGGAGCATTCAGGCCCGGCGCTCGGATCAGGGCACCCCCAGCTTAATGCGACGCGGTATTTCATGTCCAGGCGGCGGCTGGCTCTGGGCGGGATGAATGCCCTCTTTTGTCTACTGAGTTATTTTATTTACATTTTTTAAACAGCTTATCAAGGTAAAAAGATAGCTTTGCTTTAAAAAAAAAAAGGGGGGGGGGGCTTGGCTTCAGGCCCAGCTGAGCCTTGGAGGTGGGAGGCAGGCCTGTCCCGGGGCCTGAGACCACTGGAGTGGGCAGCCCAGGCGCTCTGTGGACCCTCTTCCCACCCTGCCCCTCTGTTTTCTTAGTTATTTTCCCCGAAAGCAGCAGCTCTGGGGCCTGTCTGGTAAGGTTCCCCAGTCCTGCCCTGACCAGCCACCAGGCAGCCCGGGGCATCCCCTCTTAGTGGCCACTCTCATCCGCCCGTGCGGAGGTCAGGAAGGCCTGCGAGGTCCCAGGTGGGCCCAGCCCTGGGCAATTTCCTTCTGTGGGATCCAGGCCCCTCCCCACCTACCGTTCCTGCTCTGGACCTGGGTCTGGGGCCAGTCACAGGCCCCTGGGCTGGCAGGTGATCTTTCCGCACCTGCTGGGACTCCCACATGACCAGGCACTGGGCAGCCTGGCCAGAAGTCACCTCAGCAGAAGCCGAGACTGAGAAGTGACCAGAGATTGACTCTAAGCCAGGCCAGACGGCAGAATCATGGGGACTGCCCCCACCCCAGCCCCAAGATGGGGACCAGGCCAGCGGGGCTTCCTGGAGGAAGCCCGCTGTCCTCCCAGGTCACTATGGCCACCCCAGATGGAGTCAGGGCGCCCTCCCCTGGCTGGGTGCGACTAAGCAGCCTCCCCTCTGGACCTGTGGCCTCCCCCAGCCCAACCTCCAGGCCACAGAGCCCCTGGGCTGTTGTGCACAGTGAGGGCACCTCCCAAACTGTCCCTGAGGGTGTCCGTGGCCTTCCAGCCCCAGACATGTTGGCCACACCCCTGCAGCATCCACACAGGCTGCCTGGCCGGAAGAGGGCACCCTGGGTGTGCAGAGAGCCCTGGCCGGGCTTGGACAGAAAGCCAGCTGCTCTGGTGAGACCAGGGAGAGGAGAAGGGAATTCCCCTCTGATAGTGTCCGCGTGTGGCCAGCAGAGAGGGGCTGCACCCACCTCCCAGGTGAGGCCTGAGCTGGCCCCACCCTCTCCCCAGCCACTGGGCACAGTGCCCACTGCTCAGGGAGCCCTGGCCACAGGGCAGCAGGCCCCCTGGATGCTGCTGGCTCTTTGGGGGGAAGGGAGTCCTGGAAGACAGAGAGAGGGGATCCTGGGGGGATGGAGAACAGGGAGGGGTAGTGCCCAGCCTGCCTGTGGCCCTACCCCGACCACCTGTGGCCCAGGCCACCATCCTGGGCTACCCCCACTAGGCCTGAGGCCTTGCTCCGGGATTCAGAGGGGTTCTTGGATGGATGGGGACCCACAGAGGGCTGGGCCTGAAGGACAACGAAGTCCTGTCCTTGAAAGAGCTGGACCCGCCTGACCTGAGGCTAATAACCCCGCCCTGGCCCTGTGCCCCCACCTTATGCCCCCTTTCCTGGCCCTGGGTCCCCTGGGGGCTGGTAGAGGCCCGGCTCCTGGGCCCCGGCCAGGCTGTGGAGGCCAGGTCAGGGCTACACGGGGAAAGGCCCCTCAGATCTGGGCTGGAGGCCTGGGTGAGCCTTTCCCAGGCCGCTATTTTGGTCCTTTCTGTGAGCTGTGCGGGGCGGGCGACTGCCCTGCCGGTTATTTTTGCTCATAATGGGGGAGCGATGTGTGGAAATTATTAACAGCATGGCCTGCCCGGTGTGCAGGCGCTCGGGGCCTGGCGTGTTCTCTCTGAATGGCCTGGGGTCAGGGTCTGGTTCCAGCCCCACCCGCTCCTCCGATCTGAGGGACAATTGCTCCTGTGGCAGCCGTGGGGTTCAGAGCCTCTTTCTCTGTAGGTCCTGGGGCAGTTCTGAGCTCTGTGGGCACATGATGTGGGCTTCTGCCTCTTGTCTGCTGCTCCCCCAGCCCCCATCCTCTACCTACTCATGAGCAAGCCCTGGTTGGGGCCACCTGGGTCCAGTACCCACCTCGAGACCCCATCCAGGCCGCGCCCCAGCCTGGGAGGCGTGGGGGTCATTCCCACCTGCCCCACCCTGTGGGGAGTCTGGCTCAGGGCAGGGGCTTGTCCACCAGGATGCTTCTGGATTCCAGGCCCCTTGGCCTGGGCGCCATGTGGCTGGACTTAAGCAGGCCCCGTCACTGAGCCCGCAGTGCCTGGATGGTGACCGGTGTCCCTGCGGGAGGGTGGGTGCCCCCACCGTGGCTGCCGGTCCCCCAGGCCCAGTGTGACCCGCTCCTTTGTGCTTGCCAGGCTGTCACACTGGGTACGAAGCTGCGGCTCCAGCCAGAGCTGGACGTTGAAAAGGTGAGTGTCTTTCTCATGCAAATGTCAGGTTCCAACTTGGATGCGGCCCAGGTCTGTCTGGGAGGCGGCTCCCCCACTGAGCCCTGGGCTGCGCTCCCACAGGGTGGGCCGGGTGCTGGAGGACAGGGGTCACTTGTGACCAACTGGTCATGTGAAGGGGACAGAGAGGGAGCAGGGAGGGGCCAGCAAGTGTCTCTGAGCCGTCAGCTGGCTTCGGTGTAACGTGCTCAGAGTGGGGCCAGTCCCCAGGAGTCCACCAAGCCAGTCTTCCTGTGCCCTTCGGTGGCCAGAGGGGCTCCCGGGGATGGGGGCTCCCCGGGAGGACCACCCTGGTGGAGGGGCCCCCGTCCAGTCTGGGCTCCAGACACCTCGACCTATGAGGTTGCATGGGGAAGTGGGGGAGCTGGAGGAAGTGAGGGGCTTTGTTGAGGCCTGGTTCCCACAGGGGGATGATTGACGTTTTCCAGGCCCCATCACAGCCAGGGGCTCCCTCAGGGCCTCCTGCAGGACCTGGGTAGCGTGGGGTCTGTGGGCATGCACCAGGTGCTGGCACACCATCCTGCCCACGGTGAGGCATTTCTGGGCTCCCAGGACCACTGCTGGTGTGGGTCTCCATGCTGCGCCCACAGCCCAGTGAAGACAAGGAGACAACTTGGCCTCCCAGGACCCCCACACCTCGTGGGGCCTCCAGGCCTTCGTCATGAAAGGAATGGCCGCAGGGATGGGGCCCAGGGAGCGGCGGGGGCCTGTGCGTGTGTGCGCTGTGAGCGTTAGCGTGTGTGCAGGGGCTTGGGCACTGTGCGGGCTGGGTGAGTACACCCCTCGGGGGCTGGGGTGTGCAAGTTTCACAGTGGCTCAGACACACTGGGCCTCCATGCTCCCTGGGGGCGGCAGGCCACATGGACCGGCCCCTGGCCCTCTGGGTCTGGACGCTCTGGCCACTTCCTACACCCGAATGGAGGTGAGTCGGGTGTCTCTGCGGCTGTGCTTGTGGGCCGCAGCCTGAGGGTGTGCCACCCCCTGCAGATGAGCACCCCGCTGCTCCTCCAGGACAAGGTGAACCTCGTGGAGCGTTACGTGGATGGCTTCCCAGGCCTGCAGAGGCGGCTGCTGGCCCTCATGGACTCCTGGTGCCAGCCCGGCTTCGACATCAGAGTTGTCGCCAGGTGAGTCCCACGGGGCCCAGGGAGGGGGCATGTGCAGCAGACACGTGGGAGGGCCACACGCGTGGCCCACGTGCTCTCGCCCAGGTGCCATCGGCAGCCAGGTCACTGAGGGGCCTGCGTCGGGGCCGAGAGCACGGGACTGGCAGGAACGATGGGAGAGTTAACTGCCCTGAGGCGATACAGCCCCTGAGGTCTGCACTTGTCTGTCCATTTGTCTCCGTCCCTGCTCTCCTCTAGTCAGTCTTTGTGGGGCACCTGCTGTGTGTGTTCGTCCCAGCAGAACAGACAGGGTGACGCACGGACGGGGCCATGTGCATCTGTGTGCGTGTGTGTGAGATACGAGGGTGTCACCAGAGTGTGGGGCACAGGGATGGGCCTGGGGGAGGCCCAAGGGTGCCGCAGAGGTCTGGGAAGGCTCCTGGGCCGCCTCTCCACACAGCCCCAGGCATCTCCCTGGAGAAGCAGACCTGGGGCTCTGGCGGCAGGAACCCTGGACCCGCCATCCCCAGGAGCAGTGGCCAGGCCACTTTCACTCCCGGGCTTGTTTCCCCTTCCCTGACGCGGGGTTCCCTCTGCCTGTCGCGTCCCTGAGGGTGGTTGTGACATCACAAGCTGATGGAGCACACCTGGCACCAGGCCGGGGCGGGTGGTGTTCGTTGCCATCACTCTTACCGTGTGTTAAGAAAGAAAGAGAGAGCCCGGCCAGTGTGGCTCCATTGGTTGAGCATCGACCCGTGAACCAGGAGACTGCCGGTTCAGTACCCGGTCGGGCACAGGCCTGGGCTGTGGGCTCGACCCCCAGCAGGGGGCGTGCAGGAGGCGCCCGTCAATGCCTCTCTCATCGATGTTTCTCTCTCTCTCCCCCTCCCTTCCATTCTCTCTAAAATTCAATGGAAAAAAGTAACTCAGGCGAGAATTAACCAAAAAAGAAAAAAAAAAAAAAGGGCTGGCAGGAGCTGTGTCTCTCTCCCGCAGACAGTACCCGCAGGTGACCTCCCTGAGGCTGGAGAAGCTGAGCCCCCGAGTGCTGGCGCGGCAGGTCCTGCGCCTGCGGGAGCGCTACCGCCTGGACCCAGGTGAGCCAGCCCCGCGCCCACCCCGCCCTCGGGGATGCCAGGGCTGGTGCCGCCTGTGGTGCAGGCACCCGGGACCGCTGGCCCGGCATCGCCTTCTGCCCCTTGGCAGCCTGTCCGTGGGGCCGCGCCATCGCCAGGCCGCCGGCCAGCGTTTCCTTCCCTGAGGGGCGTTCACACCTGTGTCCACAACGGGCTCTCCTGACACGTCCGGGTCCAGAGTTGCGGCCTCTGAAACGAGGTGGGCGGCGGCCCCCTTTCCTCGGAGCCGTCTGCCTGGGGTTGGAGTCGGTTCTTCCCCGAGGCTGGGTAGAAACAGCTGCGAGCCGACCCCTCTCCCCGCGGAAACGTGACCGCTGGCCCGTCTCGGCCGCGGTGTCTCCCGAGGGGTTCGTCCGCTTTGGGAGCAGTTCCACGCCGACTGTCACCACGTCGGCCGCAGGCCCCCTCGCTGTCGTCCAGCCGCGCTCTGGGGAGTGGCTGCCGGGCCTTTGTTTCTCTGTGTCCCTCCCCTGTCTCTTGGCGTTTTCACTTCCCCCGAGAACCGGCTCCGGGCTCCGGGCGCGAGGTTTTCTGAGCGATGGGGGCCGGTTGGTGCCTCGCGCCGGTTTCAGGCGTGGAGCATGGCGATTCGATTCGATGTTTCTACACGTCGTGACGTGGTCATCGCGACGAGTTCGGCGAACATCCGTCACCCGGGTTCCCTCCTGGGAGGTGCAGGGATCGTTAACTCGGTTACCGCGCCACGCGTCACATCCCGGGAGGCGCTTCTCTCTCACCTGGAGAAGTTCGCACTCCTGTGACCGCCTGCGGCCGTTTCCACCCCCCGCAGCCTCCAGCCCCTCCTCTGCGAGGTGCAGGCCTCAGGGGTCCCTCCGTGGCCTCGAGGGCAGGCCGTTTGCCCTCACGGCTGAATGACGCCCGTGGCATATCTGTCCCCGTCTGCGCCCCCCTTGCGCCGGCCGACGCTCGGGCTGTTTCCGTGTCTTGCCCACTGTTCCTAACGCTGCCGTGAACACGGGTGTGGAAATCTCTCCGAGGTCCTGATTTCATTCCATCAAGTAAATGCCCGGAACTGGGCTTGCTGGGCCGTGGGTCATCCTATTTTAAATTTTTTTCGGAACTGTGGGCCACCGTGGCCGCCCGGGTTCACATGCCCAGCAGCAGTTCTCCGCGAGCTCGCCTCCCGGTGACCGTCCTTCCAACAGGCGCGAGGTGACAGGTGTCCCCCGGTGGTTTCCGTCGGCGACGCGGCGCACCTTTCCACGCCCGCGTTGCCCGGTTGCCCGTCTTCTTTGGAGAAGTGCCTCTTCCGTCCCTCTGCCCGTTGTTAAATCAGATAATTGGGGAGTTTTTGTTGTTGTTTGTGTTTTGTCTTTTTGCTGTTGAGTCCTGCGGGCCGCTTACCTGCGTCGGAGGCGAGCCCCTCATCGGTGGGTGGTTGGCGAACGTTCTCTCCCCGTCGGCAGGCGGCCCGGCCGCCTTCTTGCTGGTCCGTCCGCCTGCAGCAGGTGTCCCTGCGACGGGGCCCCTGAGTGGACGGCCGCCTGCGTCACCCCGCTTTTGGCTTTTCTGACCCTGCCTCTCGTAGCCCGACCCAGCCCGTGGAGCTGAGCGTCAAGCCTTCTTTCTTCTTAAATACATTCCCCAAGTTTCAACATATGTTGTTCTTGTTATTGTTTAACTCAAGGTGATTTCTGTTATAACTTTCCCTTCTGCCCGTGGAGGAACTAGACATGCGTTTCTGAGTTTCCAGGCCATGTGCCCGTGGTTTCAGGTACCGGTTAGGCTTGGTGTGTCCCCTCTCCGCGGCCGGGACCCTGCTCTGCGGGACGTGAGTCCTTGGGTGGGGCTGAGCCGTGCTGCTGCGAAGACGCCTAAGCGCCCGCCCGCCTTCGGAGGCCTTCCCTCCTCGCTCGGTCTTCGCCTGCCTTGGTGCTCAACAGTTTTGCGGGAAGGAGACTGGTTACGGGTCTCCTTTGACTTGCCTTTGGGACTTGTCGGGCTTTTTCGTCTGTGGGTGGGTGTCCCCGGCCCCCTCAGGGCTTGGACGGTGGCTCTGATGTTGGGTGGGAGCCGGCAGAGGCCGAGGCCGCCGCGGGGAGAGGGTGGGCCCGGGCCGGCAGACCTGGCGCTGAGCCCACCCTCCCTTTCAGCATCCTGCCCCAATGTGGTCGGCCGGCAGCACCTGGCCGCCCTGAGGTACCTGTGCTACAAGCGGCTGGTGGAGGTGCGTGTGCCCCGGTGAGAGGCCCAGACCCGGGGCTGCGGCAGGGGGGCCCCAGCGAGGCCGCGTCCGCGCTTGCGGAGTCGATGCTGGAAAAGGTGCCTTGGTGTCCCTTTGCAGGGAAGCATGTCTCAGGAGAGCTGGGCCGACCACGTGCGGGTGAGTCTGGGGGGGGCCGGCCTGCTGTGGGCACTCACTTGGGGCCTGGGGGGCCCCCAAGAACATGTGCCTGTGTGCAGACCAGGCGTGTGGTCCAGAGGCCCCAGCAGGTTGGCAAGGAAGGTGCAGGGAAAGGGCCCTCCCCTCCCAGCAGAGATGCCGCCTCTAGCAGCCTCTGTCCTTTAGGCCAGGGCTGTCCCCTGACCCTGGGTCCATCACAGGTGCAGGGCTGTCCCCTGACCCTGGGTCCATCACAGGTGCAGGGCTGTCCCCTGACCCTGGGTCCATCACAGGTGCAGGGCTGTCCCCTGACCCTGGGTCCATCACAGGTGCAGGGCTGTCCCCTGACCCTGGGTCCATCACAGGTGCAGGGCTGTCCCCTGACCCTGGGTCCATCACAGGTGCAGGGCTGTCCCCTGACCCTGGGTCCATCACAGGTGCAGGGCTGTCCCCTGACCCTGGGTCCATCACAGGTGCAGGGCTGTCCCCTGACCCTGGGTCCATCACAGGTGCAGGGCTGTCCCCTGACCCTGGGTCCATCACAGGTGCAGGGCTGTCCCCTGACCCTGGGTCCATCACAGGTGCAGGGCTGTCCCCTGACCCTGGGTCCATCACAGGTGCAGGGCTGTCCCCTGACCCTGGGTCCATCACAGGTGCAGGGCTGTCCCCTGACCCTGGGTCCATCACAGGTGCAGGGCTGTCCCCTGACCCTGGGTCCATCACAGGTGCAGGGCTGTCCCCTGACCCTGGGTCCATCACAGGTGCAGGGCTGTCCCCTGACCCTGGGTCCATCACAGGTGCAGGGCTGTCCCCTGACCCTGGGTCCATCACAGGTGCAGGGCTGTCCCCTGACCCTGGGTCCATCACAGGTGCAGGGCTGTCCCCTGACCCTGGGTCCATCACAGGTGCAGGGCTGTCCCCTGACCCTGGGTCCATCACAGGTGCAGGGCTGTCCCCTGACCCTGGGTCCATCACAGGTGCAGGGCTGTCCCCTGACCCTGGGTCCATCACAGGTGCAGGGCTGTCCCCTGACCCTGGGTCCATCACAGGTGCAGGGCTGTCCCCTGACCCTGGGTCCATCACAGGTGCAGGGCTGTCCCCTGACCCTGGGTCCATCACAGGTGCAGGGCTGTCCCCTGACCCTGGGTCCATCACAGGTGCAGGGCTGTCCCCTGACCCTGGGTCCATCACAGGTGCAGGGCTGTCCCCTGACCCTGGGTCCATCACAGGTGCAGGGCTGTCCCCTGACCCTGGGTCCATCACAGGTGCAGGGCTGTCCCCTGACCCTGGGTCCATCACAGGTGCAGGGCTGTCCCCTGACCCTGGGTCCATCACAGGTGCAGGGCTGTCCCCTGACCCTGGGTCCATCACAGGTGCAGGGCTGTCCCCTGACCCTGGGTCCATCACAGGTGCAGGGCTGTCCCCTGACCTGGGGGTCATCACGGGTACCGGGCTAAAGTGGCTGTGGAGAAAGGTGGGGTGTGTGGGGACCCGGGCGCAGCGGGCTCGGGGCCTGGTCGGTGGGGTTGGTCACCTCCCTCCTGGGCTGGCCGCACACCATCTGTTGTCCTGAGTGGCATCCAGTGGGGGGCAGTGCTGAGCTGCCCCTGGAGTGGCCGGTGGGGGAGTGTGGTGAGTCACCGGAGAGGAACGCGGACCCCAGGGCAAGGCCCGGAAGGCGGTCCCCCCTGGGTGCCAAGGCCGCGCCTGCCGGAAGGGCAGCGGACATCCTGAGAATGTGGAGCGGTTTCCCCACATTGTCGTCCACGTGGGAACCTGCGCCTGCGGGAAGCGGGGGCCTGAGGTTTGCTGGGGGGGCAGAGCCAGTGGGGAGGCGGCTCCGCCCACAGGCCCGCAGCTCCTCAGAGGCTGGAGGCGGGGAGGGCGAGGGGCTCCCACCTGTGACCGCATGGACGCAAGGACTGGGCCAGGACCGACCCCTCTGCTGGGACCCGCGGGGGGGGGCAGCCCCTCTGCTCCCACGCTGGACGGGTGTGGGGCAGCCAGCGGACAGGCCTCATGGTCACTGCTGCCCGAGGGCTGCCCCTCTGTCCACTCTCTGGCCTGCGGGTTCAGGGGTGTCCCATGACCTCTCCCTCCCCTGAGCAAACACGCAGTGCGGGGCGGGGGCTTGGACACGGGGAGAGGGGCCTCGGCTGAGGGCGGGCAGGGGACAGTGGACCCAGCTGTGGGTGCAGCAGCAGCAATGGCTCAGAACAGTGGCCCTTCAGCCGGGCATCGCGGTCCTGGGCCCGCCGCTGGCCTTCGGGGAACAGACAGCCGCCCCCTCCTGAGGGCTGAGCTGGGTCTCAAGGGCGAGGCCTGGGCCTGGGGGCTTCGGGACTGTCTGCACCCCCTACCCCGTCCCCCAGGCCATACAGCCCACACCCTCCCCTGTCCCCAGGGCCTGGTGGGGCCTAGCGAGTGGCTACAGGAGCAGCTGCTGCGGTTGCTGGCCTCTCACAGCAACGTGGCCACGTTCGCCCGGTGTGCCCTGGACCTCTCGCTGCCCGAGGAGCGGCTGCCGGCCACGGTGGCCGCAGAGCTCAGCCGACTCAGGCTCCAGGAGAGGTGAGCACTCCCCAGGCTCGGGGGGCGACGACAGGAACACACCCCGGTGCCCCTGTCCCTTGGGAAGTGGTCCCATGAGTCGTATATGCCAGTGGTTTGGAAATTAGAAACAGAAAACCAGGAACGGGGCGCACCCAGTCCCCAGGGTGCAGATACGCAGAGCACAGGAGTCAGGAGGGTCCCTCCCCGGGCCCAGCAGCATCGCTGCACAACCCCAGGCCTG